CTGCATTGCATAGCTGCAAAAAACGCATAAAAAGACTTGAAAGATAACCATCATTCTGAGAAAGCAACATTGCTAAACCTCTTAAAGCGCACAAAGCATCAGAATGACAAGGCCGGAAATTCTAAAAGGAAAAAAATTAACGGATGGAGATGGGATGCCTCAAAGAGTCATTTAACAAATCGAAAAAACGCCGCGTTTTTTCAAAAAATCATTAAAAATTCCTTCATTCTTGAAAAATCGGTATTACAACAAACTATACCCACGCAAAAAGAATTAAAAAAAAAAAATGAAAGTGGAAGACGGACTGCAGGATTTAATATAAGTGAGGAAGCCGAAATGCTAAAGTACATGTGAGTCGATGTAAACATGAAAGATCTTTAAAACTGTAAACGTGTGAAGAAGCTGAGGGTGTTACTGTACTGACGACATATGCTTGTCGACGTAAATGTATGAAGAAGTCCGTGTTTTGAGCTGCCTGTACAGAAGAAACAAAATGAAGCAAGCTAAATGTAATCAAGTCAAATTGTTGATGGGGAAATAACCAAAAATTGCGTGTGTATGTGAGATGTTGAATGGGAGGGGTGGGAATTGGGTTTTTTAAAAGGAAACTGATGAGAATAGAGGTAATGATTAATCAGTAATTGTAACGACTAGTAGTGACCAATGGTAGAAGGATACAAGAGGGAAGTGGTTGGGAAAGAGAAAAGATAGTTATATAGATGCCTATTTTGTGACAAAGGTATGGACATACGTTGTGAATATGTGAAAAGGAATATGTAGATTTTGCTGTCTATGTTTCATCCCTAAGCTACAAACACAGACAGTATGTGGTGTGGTATGGGACGGGGATCATCAGTGTAACCCCCAAACCACTATGTGTGAAAGCTGGCTGCAAGTTTGCGTGATAAGAAAAGGACTAGAGAAGAAGGAGGAAAGTAGAAAGGAGCTCAACTTGGACCAAATAGAAGTGGGATTTATCAGTGCAAAGTTCCATGCTCGTCAATCAGGTTATATGTTGCCAGGTTGTAAAAAACAGCAAAAACATATCGAAAGTGTGCAAAGCCAGAGAAAAAAAAAAACTTAATGTTTTACTTCAAGAGAACTGAATGAGGTGATTACCTTCGCCATTCGCTCTGAATTCTGTAAATGTCATTCTTAACTTCTCCCAGATGCTCCTTATGTTCCACTTTCGTATGGCGTTCCAGACTCATCGACGTGAGGAAAATCCGATTCGCGCAGAAGCGACATGGATACGATTCCACTTCGTTTGCAACACCTTAAATTACCCATTTGATTTCAAGCAGTGGCCACCGTATATAATATGCAACAGAATATCTCAATAAGATGCCTCATTCAGCCGTACACATTACTTCAAAGCTTCATCGTATTATTTTATCTGCATCTGCTTGTAATGTGCAGCCCGCTGAGCTACCTCGGGAAAGCAATCTAACAGCGAAACTCCTCCGTATTAAATATTCAGTGGTTACATTTTCAAACAAATACAAGGTGGACCAATGGGTGGTAATGCAAGCCCGGATATTGCTGATCTCACATTGTCAGTAATGGAGTATCGCTTCCTAAGTAAAAACTCGGGGTTTCATTTTCATCTTTTCCGATACATCGATGATATTCTAATTGTCAATTGTACAAACTTTGCGAAATTGCGAGCAACATCTATGGGCCCAACCTACAACTCAATACCACTTACTCTGGACAACGTGCCTGTTTCTTAGATCTCGAAATTCTATGCCAAGACGGCGATTTTTAACATATACAATAAGACCACGGATTACCCGTTCACAGTAAATTACGGCGGGCATCCTGATAGTGATATGGACCATACGGTACAAGGTGTTATTATATCATAGTTACTTCGATATGTACGCATTTCCACCCTCCCCGGTGGGTTTCTTGACTAGGCTAGACGTCTTATAAATATCCATAGACAAAAAAAGTTTGATGCTGCTAAATTAGAAAGCTCTGTTCTAAGATTTTGCTTCAGGAACCGATCAGTACTGAGCAAATTCATTCATCTCGATGATGCAGGAATTAAAGACTTAATTAGTACTTTACTCTCATGAAAATTGCCTTCTCTTAACTACATAGAATTACTGCCCATATCATATGTTAGTTTCCACCACAGTCTTATTGCTTTCATGCTGCCGCACTTTTCCACTCACTCTTACTCTCTCTTACTCACTTTTTCTTTCACGTCTCCGTCTTGCAAAATAATTACATGTTCCTCCAATACATGGCGGGTAGAAGGCTGTACTGACGACTCCCACTCCTACCCGCATGCACAGTCTGGTCTGTGTTTACAGCTAAGGGATGAAACATAGACTGCATCGTAAAATGTCTTTTTGTACAGGACACAAGTCGAATCCTTCTGCTCGACTATTCATCGTATTATTTTGTCTGCATCTGCTTGCAATGTGCAGTCCGCTGAATTACTTCGGAAAGCGATCTAACAGCGAAACTGCTCCGTATTAAATTACTATGAAAGGTGAAGACATTCGAAGGTAGCTCACTGATACAACACGCCCAAAGCAATTAGCAGCAGGGAAAGTTATCGATGTCTCTCTCTCTCTTTCGAGGATTGTTTATTAGCGAAACTGACCTTTTTTAAGAGTTACAAGCTAGCATTAGAATATCTATATGTAATTCATTCCTGAATTTTGTGGCCTTTAACATTAAGAGTAGGAGGTAAAAATTAAAGACATACACTTCATGATTTATTTATGCCTCATGTAAATGAGAACTAGAAGAAAATAACTAGCGAGACCGAAACACGCCAAATAATAAATACTTATTATCACAAAAATCGAAATAAGCCAAATTTAGAAAGCTTCAGCGTTCGCTAATTTTGGGTCTATATTCAATACTGAACTTGTCACTTGAAGCTCCACTCCCAAATAAAAAAAAATCATTCCTTTTACAGTTTTTTAACAAATTCCGATGGCAATGGGTGCTGTCGTAAGTTCGGAATCAAAGCAACTTCTTGAACCACTCACGGAAGTAGGATTCATCAAAAGGCAAACGGCGCATTGTTGCAATCCGACCCCTTCCGAATGTCTCATGCCTCCGATGGAGTGTAACAATTGCAGAACACCCCTGTTCTAAGAGCAGCTGGAAGCTTCGCAAAAATAAACTGTATGTGGCGTGCACGCATGGGGCTCCAATGTTACTAGCGATGTAAAAAGACAAGGTGCGCCGAGGTACTACCTGGTAGATTATCACCACAGTGCAGGAGCTGGCCATCGCCCGGCAATGCCGAAACTTCGACGGTCAAGCGCGGCTCGTCGTCCGATGATGAAATTGCTTCCGGATATCGAGCATCCTGATAGATCTCCGAATTGCTGACATCGATGAAGAATCGTTTCACGGGCTTCCACTTCTCCGCAGTCTGATCGGCGATGCGCATCATCACACCTTCACGCACAACGAAACCCTCGCCGACCTCATCATCTGCTTCATTCACCAATGAGCTGCTGCCTAAATAGCTGCATTTCATCTTCTTCTTTTTATGCATTTTCCATATCTACGCAATGCAGAAAATGCATAATGACAAGGGCTTGTCTGTGCGTGTGTGTATGTCTGTATGTGCGTCCGTACCGATTTTTCATCTCGAGACCTACAAAAGCTACAGGGCTGAAACTCAGGGAACTTAATCTACATGCGCGCATGGATCCCCATCTTCAAAATGGGCGCCTTTACCCGCGTGGATTCCACTTACGGGCTCACGAAAGTTTTTTACGGGTAAGTTTTTAACTCGGGGACTTGCAAAGCTAGTAGGTCCAAATTTTAAAGACATGTTCCCTGTTCAAGTAGGCCATAATGAGCACAAACCCAGTCCCGAGTATCTGTGGTTCTCAAGTACGGGCCCATAAAAGTTCTTCACAGGTAAGTTGTTAACTCAGGAATCTGAGAAGCTAGAAATTTGGAATTTTAAGGAAATGTTCCTGGTCTACGTGGAACTTAGTGGCTTCAAGCTTTGCTCCCATTTACGCGTGGTTCTCACTTACGGAGTGGTGAAAATTCTTGGCGGGTAAGTTGCTAACTTGGGAACCAGGAAAGTTAGAAGTATAAAATTTTAAGGGGGGTGCTTCCCAACAGTCCTGGTGGTCAATCTCAGTTCGCTTAGCTAGAAGCATTTGCTGAAAGAACCGGTGTCGTTAGAAACAAAAATCTGCGGAGAACTATGCAAAAAACGCATCTTCGCACCGGCAGTCGGTGCGCTGGCCAATTATTATGCATTTGCATACACGCGAAGTAGCTCTGCCCGTGTCTGACACACAATTCCAAGCACAAAAGCACATAGGCAGAAAGTAAGTTTTGAACAAATAATAATTGGTTTTCATCTACTAAAGTCGTGGAGGGAAGGGGGTAAAAAAGGCTACATGCTAATTCGAGTAAATCTAAATTTTCTTGCAATGTAATTAGAAAAGAGATTATAGCTTTAGCTAGAAGATTTCTTCACTCACTTTGGCTGGGGGCATTCGCAAGACGCTGCCGTCGAGAGCTTCTCGAGATGATTCGCGGTGCTCGCCTCAACATCACTCCCGCACTTCCCATCCACCGAACCCTGAAAACATTGGGAAGTATTTCGACGTGTTCAAGCCAAAACAAATGCAACGGTTTTTTTTCATCGGTTGTATGTTGAAAGACGGCTCAGCCCGTCTGATATCCCTTACTGCGCTACCCCTTCCCGAACCAAAACAGACTCCTTTTGCCGGAATGTACGGATCCGACGCACCGCAGAACATCCCCTGAACTATCGATGAAGCACGAAATTACAAAAATGGCTCGGCTT